CAAGAGAGAGATTTTAGCAGATAAAACAGGTCATTAATGAACATTTACTTTATGTACTCATCAGTCTGTGTCAGTTAATGGCAATAAAGGTTAATTAACAACATTTTTTTCATCAAGAATCAATGAGTATGTAAGTTTCTTAATTCTAACTAGTCCTGAGATCATAAATTATGTTCACAGATGGTGTAAACTCAGAATTTATGAGCTCACGAAGCCTTTTTGTGTCTGTTTTAGTCCCACAGTGACTGAAAACCGTCTCATGCTGCTAAACGCTGTTTTGCCTGATCGCCTGCAGCCTGGAATGTGCTTCTGGTTCTGAATTCTGCTCTCTTGATCCGTTTAAGAGTTTGACTTGAGAATGTGTTCCGTGCACCGACTGTAATCACTTCATTCCTTTATTTTTAATTTATATGCAAATACCGTAAACTGGGCCTACGGTGCAGAGTTTGGGCTGTTGTAGGAAATCAAGGCGCCGCGGGAGGTTCTGCTGAGCGACGTCCTTCCAGCGGAGGACGTCCGACCCGCTGAGACGTCCTTCAGCAGACCTCTGAAGCTGCAGGCCGTCGCTCTGCAGCCCATCCAGACCTCCGGCCTCCACATGCAGGACACGAGAACGCACTTCTGACATGAACAGTTCTGTCTGATCCTAGAGGAGGCTGGGAGTTAAAACTGCTCAGAGGAAGGAGGCCTGCTGCTGCCTGAGAGCGTGGACGACCCATTTGCATATTTGCATCGCTGCCGCTGTTTCCTCGTCGACTAACGCCGTTGTTCCGCTTATCTCGCTGCTTTTGAACGATCAAACCTCCACCAAAGGAGATTGTTAAGTATTCAGGCGTGTTTGAATAAAACGCTGACATCTGAACCTGAATATTTCTGATCATATATAAAACTGTCAGGCTTTAATTAGTCCAGTGACTTTATAGCAGAAAGTATTGTTAATATTTAGAGAACAGGACTTCAGGCTGTTGTCGTTAACGTGCTTTATAACTACCAGCGACTTGATTTGACTTCTGGTGTCAGAACAAACGCGGTTCTGCTCAGCGAAGGTCGAACATCAGCGAGAATCAACATCAACCAGAACACGGCTCACTTTGCTTCAGATCAGACAGAAAAAAACGCTCCCGTTGTTCACAGCGTGAAGCAGGAAAACATCCACACTACCTCCAAATAAACAGCGTTTTATTGTCCTGACTTGTGAAGCCCGTCCTTACAGGAGTCCTGCAGGGAAATCTATCAGTGCACCTCCATTAACACGTAAGGATTCCCTGATTGGAGGAGAGCACATCCTCAACACCTCTGCAGTTATTGTGCAGTGAGAAAGAGGAGATGAGAGGAGGAGAAAATTAGAAAATGAGCCTCAGCAACACTGTCCTCTAAGCTTAAAGGAAGTAAAGGTCCTGGAGGGGCAGTGAGTGATGAAGCAGCCTGAACGCCGTCATGAACGAAGCTGACTCATGTGAGCAGCTCTGGAGGGACTCAGGAGACACGCTGAGGGTTTATCACGATTTATGCCGAAATCAACGAGCTTTTAATCCTCATTCGAAGACAACAACGTACAGATGTTGTCCAGGGAGGACGGGTGGTTTGAGAGAGGAGTGAAAGAAGCATCTAACTGGAAAGACCATCCCTGAACAGAGGTGGAGGTCTGAGGCATCACCTCTCACCTGTTCAGTCCTCAGATCTCTCCCCAGGAAGATGAAGCCACATCCACACCTAAAGACCCTAACGAACCCCATGGTGACAGGGGGAGCACTAACGACCCGCATAACGAGGGGGAGGAGCAACAAGCCCCCAATTAACACCCAAACTCAGGTGTTCATGGCTCCTTCAGGATATCAGTATGTGGAACCAGTCAGTCAGAGCTGATGAAGCCTCTTGGATGGAGGTGGAACGTCTTCAAGGAACTCAAGCAGGTCCAGTTTCTACCATTAATCTACCAGAGTAACCAGGACCTGGAGGACTGAGAATCTTCACAGACAAGCTTTTAAGCCACGAGAAGCCTTTTTTTATTCTTTTGTTCTCTCTCTGAAGAAGACGACGTTGGGTTTGACCTTCGCTGTGGACGTCTTACCTCCGATAATCAGGAGAATGAAGCTGTTGCTCTTCCTGTAGCAGGAGGTGAACCCACCTCTTTACCTGCCGTCTGACAGCCATGACTGATGTTCAGCCTTTTACATAAACTGGAGGCTCTTCCCTGAACTCTTGTGTCAGAATATCCAGTTCGCCTTAGTGAAGGCTGATCTTCTTTTTTAATTAATTGTGCAGCTCTGGAGCGGAGCTGCGACCACAATCTCTTTATAATTGGCTTTAGTCGTCCCATCTGATGGAGCGGACTCGTTATTAATAAGGAGGGAGCAGCTAATGATGGCGGCCGATGCGGTGCAGACGCTCAGAGAGGTGCCGTCCACATTTTAACGCCTCCAACGTTGTTCTACAGCTGATTAACAGCCGTAACGAGCTGTAACGAGCTGTAACGAGCTGCACTGTCTCTGCTTCAAACACCTTCTGACAGGCCTGATGAGTCCAGCCTGAGAATAGCACTTCAGATAACACGTTAAAGTCCCGCCCCTAAT